TTATTTTTCTTAATTTTATACTGTTAAATTTTAATAATAGCAAATAATTGTTGACAAATGATTATCGAGAACTGCTTATCAAAGTTCGTATTGTTGATCAGTTGTTAGAATTCGACCACCGTTGTTTTTGACTTAAAGGCATTTTTTGGCATTCGCATTGACGAAAACATTTTGTAACTTAGATCTTGTACATTACAAGTTAGTTGTCCAAAAGCTATTCAACAAAAAACAAAAACAACAGCAATCTATTAAAAGAATTTACTCAAATGAGAAATATTCCAAAGAATAAAATAATACTATACGTAATTTTGTAATGTATTATATTTGTAAAATGTACTTATGTTGAAATTTAAAAAATATATATTGCAATACTATTGTTACCTTCTATGAAAATTTGTATTGCTCCATATAAACCAAATTTTTAATCAAGAATCTCCTCGCCACGGTCAATGGTGTCCCGCTTTACCAATGCTAAAATCTGGTCACCTTAATATACAAACTCTCATATTACAGCTCAGATGTAGATATCCTAATGTTTAACACACAGATTCTACTACACGAGAAAAGCAGCACACACTATATGTCTACAAAATTTTGAAAGTTCATAAAAAAATTAAAAATGAAGAAAGTAAAATTTTTTTACTTGAAGAGCTCATCTTTTGGAATGCTGCTTAAATCTCTGGTTATGGTTTCCTATATCATTTCAGTGTTATTAAAAAAACTTTTGAGATGAAACTTCATTTTAAGGAAGAGAAAGTAGTCTGCAGGTGCTGAATTTGGAGAATAGGTGGTGAAGTGATTGAAAATTGCTACACATTTCTTTATACGAAACTGCTCGACTAAAATGGAATTATGTAATGATGGGTTGTCATGAAGCAGAAACCTGCTACTTGATTCAGCTTTTCAGGCCTAATATCTTGCATTATTTTAAAAAGTCAATCAATTAAGTCTTTGTAATATATGGAATTCACTATCTGTCCTTCAGGAACCAATATCTCGTGAGGTATCTCTTTCCAATTCAAAAAGTATTACGAGTACTTGAGATTTCTGAAACTGATGTTTGTGACACGACACTGAATCTTTTCAAAGCTAATTGCTCCTTTATTTTAACAAAGGACCAAGTTTTTCTCTCTGTAATTTCTGCTAGCTTTACAGTAAAACCCTATTGCAATTTTTGCTCAGCTTTTGAACCTATGACTGCCGATGTTCATTGGATCAATGCAAGTGATTAAATATTTAAACAATTATGTCCATAAGCAGTTAAGGTTTTCAAAAAGGCAAGCTGAGATGCTGTAGTCATAAATACTGTCAATTTTTGTTTGACAAGTTTGTTATAATTTGTTGAAAAGAAATGAGTCCTAAAACTTTGTAGAAACATTACATATCATACTCGGCCCAATCAGAAAAAGAAAATTTAATAGCATAAAATGATTACAAAATACTATTAAAAAAAACATTAACAGATTATTTCTCATTACTGAAAAGCACGGCTAATCTTTACTGTATGGTCCCCTTCGGTTTTTTTCTGAAAAAATTGCCAAGCGGTATTGGTTGTTCGTGAAATCTGGAAGCTTGCTGCAATTCTATTGTAATAGTAACCCTTTCATATGGACCCAGGTTTTTGGTTTTTACTATTCTTTTCTGTAGCTGTGTTTGCTTGCACTTGCATGGTATGTTCTTGGATTTTGAACTTGCTATTATTTTGCTGTGATACCATCATTTGAGTATGTCTGAGGTGGGTAAGAAGATGAATTTTGATTAACAGCAGATGAGCAGAAATGACAAAAAATTTAATTGAATTGCTTACCTAGAGGATGGGGGGAGATTGTGGTGGCAAGCCTATACATATGCACGCGAAAAAAAGGTATGTTAAAAAATATGTTTCATTTACTGATTCGTCTCTGTGTGTTAATTTTTGTTAAAAGATTTGTTGTTTAATGATTTTATGCTAGGAAATATGTATTTTTGATTATTTATTCCTCTCTGTTTGTGTATTTTTGGTTATTCATTTGTCTCTGCGAGTTAAGACAGCGGAGAATTTTTTCTGGTTACTATGATAGTTTTAACTTTGTTTTAGCTTCATGATTTTGTTTAAGCAGGGGCATAGTTGAGTTTCCAGCGCCCGGGGCAACTGAAGAATTTGCACCCCTTTCTGTGTGCCAAGAATGGAAAACATTTCATTAAAAAATTTCGTAGCATCAATTTGGCACCCCTTGGATGCTACGCCCGGGGACAGATGTCCCCCCTTGCCCCACGCTAGCTACGCCACTGTGTTTAAATGAAAATAGATCAATGTCTACATGGACAAAGTTAGGGCAGTCCACGATGCCTAGTTTGTGAAATTCTTTGATGTTCTTTTAAGTGAAAATAGGTCTATATATACATGGACACCGAGTTTGTGTAAGTCTTTAACTTCTTATTTTGGTTTTCTGAAGCAGCCATCTTGAAACTGCCGCCGAGCTTCGTGTCAAAAAAGAAATGATTAGCCAAGGGATACTGTAAATTTTTACCAAAAGCACAAATTCAGTGCTTCATATATGTATACAATACTCAATAAAGTATATGTTATGAAAAATACATTAAAGCTATAATGTAGATAAACTATACGAAACAAACAAATTTATCGTGCTTGTTTTTAACCCATGGGTAATAGTTTATACTCAATGTTGTATAAACACAAACCTAAAAACACTGTTGTAAAAACCAAAATCTTGCAATTTGAAACTATATAAAGTTAAAAAATAACTTTTCATCAACGTTTGAAATGATGCACAGAATAACAATGTTATTTACTAATTATAACAAACTTCAGATAAGACATATATTGAGCATAATACTTAAATTTAACAAATTTATAAATTTTAAAGTTATTCTTAAACAATAAAGAAATATTTTACTCATTTGGCTTAATTAGTGCAACCACAAAAAATATTTATTATAATAATTCAGAAGTCAAACAACAAAAATCAGCATTACATTTTTAAATTTTCACAGTTGTGAAAATTTAAAAATATAACGCTGATTTTGTTGTTTGACTTCTGAATTAGTATTTGTTCAGCGTGTCATTGTGTCTTAATTATTTATTATAGTGTTTATAAATATCAAAACACATTAAAAAAATAAAAATATTTTGATGAAATCTTGTCTGTGTAATAACTTTATCAGAGAAAATAACTAATTTTAAAGATGCCACTAATGATAGATTTGATATGTTAATGTCTTAGTGAATTCGTTTCGCTATTATAATAAAATTATATCTCATAACATACCATTATTAGTTATATAACTGCATATTACATTAATATAATGCAAATTAAATTGCACAACTGAAATACAATTTGATTACTTTTAAGTAACAAGTACTTAATAATTTGTAATATGACAGTACATTACAAAAGAAACAGGGGGTTTTCATCCGCAGAGAACCCGTTGGCGCTGTTGCATTTTTACTCACCAAGCTCACGGTTCATCGACGATGAGCCGAGCCGTAAACGTGATTCTTAGTGCATGTAAATTCAAGTTAGCAGACAAAACAATATATTAAGCATATGGTAGTAAAAATTCACAGATAATAAGCATGCAGATGTAAAACTAACCAGTTAAACGTGATATATGAAAATTAATTTGTATTAAATTCAAGTTAGCACAGAAAAAAATATATTAAGCATAAGACAATACATAAGCATTTATAACGGAAATAAAAAATATAAATCAGTATTAATGTACTAAAATTACTCGGTTAAACGTGATAAACGAAAACAATTTGTCTTAAATTCCAGTTAACACAAAAAACAATATATTCCTTACACCAGCAGTGGTTTGCTAATTTTGATGACCATGGTTATGCATAGATAATCAATCATATTTTTTATTTCAATTTAATCATCTATTTATGTCACACCTGCCATCCTCTGAAAGGTTATTGTTAGAAAAGCATTAACAATATAGTATCTTGTTAAAATTTTACGCCATAAAATTTGATTTATTCTCATAATTTTAGATGACAATACCCAATAATAAAAATAAAAGCATTAATTATTTAAAATGCACACGTATATTTTTTAGACCTACGAAAAAAATTGGTTTAATCCTAGTATCCGGTGCACACAGGATTTGGCGACTTTATAATGAGCAGTAAAAGCGGGACATTTACGATGAGTATTCAAAGAAAATGTACAGTTAAACATATAACTGTACATTTAGTAAACATATAACTATATAAATAGTATACATACTATGTGTGTATAGTATACATATAGATGTTCTTTGAATAATTTTTGGTGTTGGCGATAATTTTCGCGCCAAGGCTGCACCGTATACTAGGATTTTATCAAAAAATTATTTTAGGGGTTGGAAACCTCATAGGTCTGCATGCTTACAGCTGTTAATAATTAAGAACACAACGTAAACAGCCGTGTTACAAATTAGCATTCACCCCTCCCGCCGTATTTTCTTCCTTTCATCCCGAATAGAGAACCGGCATCTATCTACGAAAATATTTCTATCTATTCGTTGTTAAAAAATTCAGAAAAAATAATAATAAATAAGAGAAGAATAATATAAATCTGCAAATGCGAACAACGACAGTGATAGTGAACGCAAGAGGAATGGTTGCAAACTTTGAACAAGCAAATAGGATAATTCCGCTGGGTTACCAGATTTGAACTATTATCGCCAAAGTTGGCGATGTTTACATTTACCGGGTTCTCTTCTCTGCGGAAGTGCTTCCGAAACAGGTTCTACACTGTAATTCCTATAAATCTTAACAAGTCCCAAAAGTGCATTTAGAAAGAATATCGACAGGGAAAATTAAAATAACTTTAAGATAACTTATTAATAATTCTACTTTTATCAAATTTATTTTTCTACTTTGCATATTGCCTTAATACAAATACAGAAATTCTTATAAATACAAAATATAAACACATATAATACCTGTTACATATAAATGCATACTTCTATGGTTTAATGAAACAAAATCAAAAATGAAATAAAAGCAATTTTTTGAGTGATTAATGACTTTTTTTAATAAAATAAATGGAATGCAATAAAAGTAAAAATTGTGATTCAATCTGCCAGTACTACTTCTGACTACCAGAACTAGCAATTTCAGTATTTTCACAAACACTATCATTTGATGATGAGCTGCTGCTAGATGTACTAGAATCTTCATTATTATCAGATGCATGAAAATTATTCTGAATGAGAGATGCAACACTATCAGAACCGGCTGATGTTACTGGATGCTCCCTTTTAGCAGCATTTTGGAGAACAGCCCATGCTGGTTTTGGGCCTGGAAGTGGCTTATGAGAAGGTGACATCCATAAATTACATGTTTTTGGTACTTCTTCTCCACTTCCCAGGTTTAGGAGAGGATTATAATCTCCAGAACCTGGAATATCACTTTTCTGAAGTCTCTGATGTTGTTTATTAACAATATCTATTACATTTGCTTGTGCTTGATCTACTACATTTGCTTGTGCTGTGGTAAAGGAGCCACTGAAATTTGATGTAGAAGGTAGAAAAGGATAATCATCTAATAAATATAAAGACATGGGTGACTCTAGTGCTTCTTGTTCATTTACCCCTCTTTCAACTTCAGAAACACGATAGCATGTGTTATTCATCCCACTTTCCCATTTTTTTCGAGATGATATTATTTTAGATAATGTAGGAAATTCAGAAGAAGGAGAAGCTGATGCAGATAATGGCTGTTGATCATTTGAGGATCCATTCATTCGTTGTGTTGCCAATAAAGATGATAATAACAATGAATGACGACAACTATGACTATTTTTTTGCTTCTCACTGTGTTTCTGCATATCATTCACTGTACTTACAGTCCAGTTACGATACTGATTTTGATGTTGTAATTCTAAAAGACGTAATAATACTGATTCATCATCATCTGATGGCATTTCAAATACATTATTCCTTTCACATGATGAACTCATATTCTTTTCATTACTCTTATGATTACTGAGAGAGTTCCACGAATGCAAACGTTGACGGCGAGATGCATGTTTTGAATTAAATTGAAATTCAATGTCATCAGAAATAGTTTCTTCTTCTATATCATTTTCATCATTTGAATTTTCCTCTAATGGTGCACTAATGTTGTTGCCACATGCTGAATGACTTGCTGCAGCTTCTTCACTGTTACATTCACTGACAATCTCATTGTCAGAACTAGAAGAATCAGCTTCACAAGAAGCATCATATGAATCTAAAAGAATAACATCTTTATAATTACACTTACGGGCACTGGAATGTGCACAAACATTTCTATTTTGTTGTCTATATACCTGTTCAATCTGAGTGCAATCATGTTCTCGGCTGTTACTACCTTTTAAACATTTCACTTTCATTCTGGTTCCAGAAGCTTGAGCACTACATCCTTGAGCAATATCCTCACTGTCAATGCTTTTCTCCATACATTTATTTACCACATCTGAATCAACGCTATTCTCATTCTTTGGTGTTTCAGATGAATTTGGTGAAGGGGCAATAAAATTTTCATTAGTAGGCATAGAAGAAAAACTAGATAATGATGACTGAACTGGAGATGCTATATTAAAAGTTGGTGACAGCAAAGGTGATGCTACATTTCCAATTAAAGGACAAATACTCATTGTTGTTGGTACATTACTGCCAAGACCTGATGGTTGTTCAGGCATAACTATTTGAACATCTCCAACATCTGCCTTATTACCTAAAGTTGCTTGATTACGAGATAATTCTATAGCAAGCCTTTCTTTCAGATCATTGATTTGAGTTATGTATTGAGCTTGTGCAGTTTGCAACTGATTAATATACCACATCTGATCTCTACATTTTTGAAAAAAAGTTGGGGAACGAACCTGAAAACCAAGGATTAAAGTATCACGTTCAGTATTTAAATAGCCTTCACTTGCAAGAAGGTCAAGTCTAAAAAAGCGGTTATAGCCCCAACATTCACCAACATCAAAATCAGACGCAAATTCACGCACAATTGTTTTTGATGGATCTCTAGAACCCTGGTGAATCATCTCAACTCGATATTCGTATTTTGATGTCTCCGGCAAGCCTGCTGAAAGTTCTAAGAAAACAGATAAATAATTGCCTCGAACAACACCATTGCCATCAGGATATACTTTAAGACGCCAGGTCAGACCACATACATTTAACGCAGGACTATATACTGGATCTGCCCTCTGCTGCAAGGCACTAAAGTTATGCATAACAAATGTACTACCATCATAAGGAGGTACAATTTCACTGGGAAAATCTGCTGGAACAGCAGCAGTAACAAAATTTGCCATGGGCTTCCTCTGAATTTCTGCCATATTTTGAAGAATTTCACTGCTCATTGATATTAATTCATTTTTACAGCTTGAGTTCAACTGTGTTTCTACTAACTTTAATACAGTCTCCAACTGTTCAGTTTCTTGAGATAATGAATTCTTCTGAGCCATCAAAGTAAGAAGTTTACTTTTAAGTTGAGCATCCAATCTTGAAATCATGTGCTCCACAGCATGACGAATCTCATGAACACGTTCATCTTTAGCAACTCTGACACTCTCCACACTTTTCTCAACTTCTTGCACTAATGTAATTAATTCAGATAGGCGTCTTCGTAGTCTTACAAATTCTTCCTTGATTTGAGCTACATGTTGGTCATAAATTTCCTCTAATGGTTTAAATATATGATCTGAATGAGTTCCACCCCAAAGAGCACACTGGTGACATATACATTGTTTACAATTCCAGCAATAAACACTTAGCTTTTCTTTATGGGTTTTGCACTTCTCTTTCTCAGAAGTATCACCTTTCACAGCCCCAACTAACTGCAAAGTATCCAACTGTTGGGTCACTTCTTCAGCCCAACGACAATTTACTAGCTCATGCATGTGCAATGAAGCTCGGCAATGTGGGCACTGTGATCTCTGCTCTGTTAACCACCTTCGGATACAAGTATAACAGCACAGTTTGGAACAATGTGGGCATAAGTGGGCATCTTTAAGTTTTTCCATGCAAATAAAGCATCTAAAGACCTCAGCCAAACTTTCAACGCTATGTTCATCCATCGTAAATCCACGACTTGTCACAAGGAAATACAAAAAAAAAAAAAAAAAAAAAAATCACACAATTTTCTTTTACATGACGGAAAGACGAGGGTCTATTTTTAAACTAAATTACATCATACACCTTACGATGAAATTCAGTATAGGAAATAATAATTCATGGTTAAGCTCAAAACAATCAAACCTTATCGATCATACATATACAACAGTCATTTACCCATTTTGACAAGTCAAACACTCGATAAAACCCCCAATTGGCTGGCGCATGCGCACATAGAAACAGAAAAATAGGACGTTAAAGAAATTAGTTGTTACTTCCTACTCAAGATATCCGACCTCGTACAAAAGAGGCTGTGTCTACCCGTACGACGTCGGAAGTTTAGCTGAAACATGGTAAAAATGCTAAACGTACGACTAGTTGCGCAGAGACACTTTCGTGATTTCTGCGCATTCCGACCAGTCGTAAAGAGATGTTTGTTTACATTTGTGTTGATTATCGGAAGGGTGAATTGCTTTTCCGTGTAGTGCTAGAATGTCAAGAAAAAGTTATTTTTTATTTCGTTTGATGACTAATTACTATCATTCTTTGATAGATATCTAAAACATTATATAAAATAAAGAACTTTGAATATATCTGAATATTATTCTTGTTTTAAATTGCTAATGTTTGATCATTTTATACTGATGCGGAGTTTACACAAATAATCAAAATTTCTTGAAATTCTTATCAACAGATTTAAATAAATCATGCATGCAAGCAGTAAAATCACATTCTTATGAAACGAAATTGAAAAATCGTCTTAAAACCTTGTGTAATTTTTCTGTCATGCGTAGCTAAATATTTCTATAAAATTGCATACAGAAGCATTTATATACATAAAGAGTGTGTTCGGGAGATTAATTCAGAAATGTATGTGCATATGCTTGTATGTACGGATGTAGGTGTTCATGTAGCATATGTATATGTGTGTACATACGTTTGTGTGTGTGTGCACAGATATACATGCATACATACATTTTTGAGTCTGGTCTCGAAAAATGTCTTGCTGAAAAAGAATGTAAACAAACCACCCAGCTCCTTAAAAAAAAAGTTTAGAAATTTTTTATCATAATTTTGGTTTCTACAGCAAACTTTTGTGTGTGGGTTTGTTTTAAACTCTTAGAAGAACTCAAATTTTAATATAAAGACGTGAAAATTTTTTACCTTTTGATAGTGTACCTGATGATGATTTATTAAAATCACAATTGACTCTTTTATATTTAATATTGAAAAAAAGGAGGGGGATATGTACAAAATTATAATAAAGATAATTCTAAGGTATTTTTTATAAATATATGTGACTGATTACACACTCTGAATATAGAAAAAATAATCGCTTACATATGACTTATGCAGTATTTGTTTTATTATCATATCCTGCCCTCATAAGCTCAAAAATAAAACTTTATACAGGAAAGTCATTTTACCTCCAAATATATTTTATGGTATTGAAGTATGATAACAGATGATTATTTTTGTTAGAAAAATTATAATGTTATGAATATTTTCCTGAAAATAATTATACATTATATTCAAGCATATTTATATATTAATATATATATTATATTCAAGTAATAGATGACATATTTATATATTCTATTTAAAAATAAATGGCAGCACTATGTCTTGTCATTAACTTTATCAAAAGAACTTATAGGTTCAAAGCACCTAATTTCTAGTATAAGAACTGTACTTCAAATGTCCTTTTCTTTTCCTTTTTTTTTTTTTTTTTTTTTTCTGTAAGAGTTTTGCTTTATACTATTTACAGATGTGACATCTAAAAATGCTTGGCCTTTTTTATCCAAATATCTAAATATGGAAGTCTGAAATAATGCAATATATTTGTATGTATATAGAGTAAAATATTAGTAAATTCTACATAAGTACATTATTATTCTAAGATAATGTATTTAAAAATATTCAGTTTAATGCAAATATGTGAATCAATTTATACATATAAATTTTAAGTGTATGACTTCTGTTGGATGTTTTAAGTAAACAATAAAAAAAAATTAACCTTTTTATCAACTTATCTTGCACATATATACATTATTACTTTTTTTTCCTATAAGAATAAACTTAATCTAATATAATAATCTAAAAATAAATAATACACAACATCTATTAAGGCAGACCATTTTTAGTACAGTAACAAATAATACAAGCAATATAATTTAATACTTTCAGTTGTCAGAGAATGAAGTGAGTTTTGTGTGAAGCTATTTAATGAAAAAATCTGAAAACAATTTTTGATGGTTCTAAAATACAAGTTCTAAAAGAATTAAAATATGTACATGAGATAAATGCCGCTCTTTTTGTTTTAACCCCTTTGAATAAATTTTAACCAATTTGATACTTTTTTTACTTCTTTTCAAAACCTTGAAATACATGAGAAACTGATTTCAGGACCAACACATTTCAAGAAATATTGCTAACTGCAATGAATCAGCACACATGTATGACTTCATCAGAACCATCAGAATGTCTTGTATTACCTTTATTTATTTATTTAAAGTTACTAATGGATTTATATGTAGAAGAGCTGAGATTTCTAATACAGTTACCACACTGGCATTTTTAATGATCTTTTCACTAATGATTTAAAATCTCTCTATATTTTTTATTATTATTTCAAATGAAAAGTTTTTGTTCATTTGTTTCCAAAATAACAGCTACTTCCTTAGTTCAATTATTATTGGTTTGTCTGGTGAACTCCTGTGATTTTTTTTTTTTTTTTTTTTTTTTTTTTAATACATTAATTCTGTAATTTGTTGTTTTCAGTTTTTAATTTCTCTTTTGAAAAGTTTTCTGCAGTTTTAACTTAATAGCCTTGAAACTTATGATCAACATTCAAAATCTAACTTCCATTTTAAATTTCAATGTTTACCTGGATTCATAACAAGTGTATTATTTTTAAATTATTCAGACAACTTAAGAGCTCTGTGTCTTACATCTTCATAATGGTAGAAAATTTCATTGTACAGCCTATGTACATTTTAGTTTTGTCATGTCATGCCATTTGTGAAATATTCCTTCTCTCTGCTTAATTTTATTCCATATATAGAGATATTCAGTAAGTTTAAGCATAATAAATTTGTAGAAGATAAATGTCTAAAATTCCATTTTCAGTTTCCTATGTAGACTTTTAATTTGCATTTAGTACAGCAATCAATTACGCATTGAATTCCAATATAAAAAATATTTTTTATCACAGCCTTCAGATCATTCCTGAACATCATTCAAATCATCATCAGACTGCAGTATGAAATATACAAATACTTCTTCTGTTTTTGAAACAAAAAAGAAATCATTTGATGACAAGGTCTAGTGAACATTGTGCATAGGGTATAAGCTGAAATTATCATTCCTGGAACAGCAATCTGGCAAATTTTAGTCTTGTGTGCTGCAGCGTTTTTATGCATAGCGGAATTTTACTGCTGAGTTTGCTACACAGTTTTATAGTTAATAGGAATTGTATTGGATTATTACGTCAAAAAAATGTGAGAACTATCTGTCTAAGAGAAGATATGCCTTTTCAAAGGAACAATATAAGGAAAACTGGCTCTGATTCACTTTATACATGAGGAAAACAGCAAAATCTCCTCTGGAGCCAGCCTATTCGTCAAGATAAAACTCTGAGCGAATTACTAGCATTCAGCGGATTTACCTCTCGGCCGCTGGTGGGCCTAGTACAAGTTGAGTCAACAGGTTAGCGTAATAAACACCTTTTATCATGATATTATGTGACCTATAATCTATAAGCAATGCTCTTCATAAAAAATGTTAATTCTGTTTGCTTTCTGGATTCTGAACTTAGCTCTTGTTTATCTATTCTCTTGTTTTGAGATCTGCTCATCAAAACAGAGAGCAGCAGGTCAATTAAAGAAGGATATGCATGCAGTGCAATCATCTTCAGTACGATCTCAAGTCATAGTCACGTCTTTAATCCACCTAAAATCCAGTCCCAGTACTTTTCACTCTTTGAGCAAAAGTATAATTCCTGTTGGAGTCTAAATTAAGATGAGCTCCGGTATTTCAATTTTCTACTGAACTATTTTCATTAATTAAATTGAATTATCTAATTTTATTTATTAATTTACATTTTATTTTTATTTTTTTTCTTTATTTTTATCTTTGTTGACGACCTTTCATAGTCCTTCTTCTTTTAGAAATTAAGTACTGACCACAATGCATTGAGGCATAAAATTGAACAGGCACTCGTATAATCCTATGGCAAACATTCCACACTTGCTAGATAATGTGTTTCACATTGAGGACATCGAAGCACTGAGCCTACGCAGGCCAGATAGAGCTTAAGTCACATTATTTTGATCACTGCAAAGCACGCAAGGGCTTTCTGCCTAAGAACAGGGATGCTTTTGTGGAGCACTTTTTAAAGGTTCGATTTGGTTTGTTTGATTTTAGAAAAGCACTTGAGGGCTATTTGTCTAAAGAAGAGCAAAGATTCTTGATGGCTTCATGATGGACTTTTCGAAGAAAAAACTAGCTGGCATTCACATTGCGCAAGAGAAAACAAACATCAAAAACTCCCATGCGACCAGTCCGTTCGCTGGAATTTCAAACCAGTCGAACTAACAGTATTCACCAAATTTACTGGTAGGTTTATACTCAACAAGGGACATATTTTTGGAGCAGGTAGGTTGTGTAAGTGTCAGTAAATGACGTAGCCAGTCTTGGGCAATAAGCTATGAGTGGCGTTCATTATCCTACTGAAATATCGTGCTTGGATTCTTTGTCAGGTATTGGTGTATATTGGTTGAGACAGATAGATTTTCGCATGTTATGTATCATGTGCAAGCAGTAATTAGAATGGTGCAAAGCATAGTATAACATCGTCAACGTATTAGACAGTGAGAAATGTGACAACACTGACTAAGAAAGGAATGCAAAAGGATACAAAAGCAGATTCGAAATACATCTGTATTCTACTCAAATCAGAAGGTGAATGCCCATATGATAAGGGTAACACAAACGCAATTATCACTAGGGGATATAATCCTACTTAATTGTGATGCAGTCTCTCTACTGTATATTCATGCTCTGTACGAGATCGTCCACGAATTTCTGAGAAATTATGTTCAATTCTTCTTGCAGGGCTGATTACAGCTATGAAAGCATTGAAAGGCACTAGCGACGGGCTGTCAAAAGTCCCCAGACCATACACCATATATTAAGTTGGAGCATACGACAGCCTTCAGAATGCCTACGCTA